TCTCTCTCCCTGGACAGAAGGTGACTCTAGCACGTTCTGAAATTTCTTCCTCGAAGAGGGAGTGTTTGCACATGAGCACATGGGAAGCTCAGAAACTCTCATCTGCAAAGACTTTGGATCCACGTGTCTCCTCACCTGCTTGACCAGCACGTTCTTCATGACGACCATAGGGGACAGTGTAGGGAAGGCGTTGTTTGCAGCTTTGGAGGTCTGCCTCAGCTTGTCTTCTCTGTTCCAGCCCAACACGCTCAGCATGTCCTCCGACTCCATCTGCTCTGCAGAGCTTAAACATTCTGAGCTCCCATCTGGTGGCAGAAAAGCGGTCAGTTGAGCTAATGGCTCATAACCCAGCTCCTAAGGGGCCACAGACTCCTTAAAATAGAAGAGAATATCTCTGACAGGTGTTTCTGTGAATGTTCTGAGGTTGGAAAGTTCACTGGCTGTTCAATAACTATCTTTCCCACTCCACAGGTTTAACTACTCTGCTTGACTTTCTTCAAAACTCTTAGAAAGCCCTGTGTCAATCAGGGTTTGCATGAAAGCAATCATCACCAGATCACAAGAGAAATTAGTTGAAGACTGCAAAGTTAAATGGTTATCTTTATTTTCTTATTTTAAGAACTCTTTGGTTACATTTTGTATGGATGGATTGGGTAGGGTGTGCATGTCATACTTCACTTGTAGGGAACAGAGGACAGGCTGTGGGAGTCAATTTTTGGCTACTAGGTTGTCAGCCTTGGCGATAAGTGACTTTATCATGTCACCAGGGTCAGGTCATTACTTTAAAAACTGTTTTTGAGATGTGAGGAGAAAGTGTAACACTCTTAAGATCCTCAGAGGCTCTGGAGCCATAAGATACAAAATACAAAAAGCAAAGCCAATTAAAATTTTTATTCATGTTAAAATGAAAATACCTCTGTCCTGAATTTTCTGATGTGAATGGTGAATGATAACTACAGTTATCTAGGAGACAAGGCTCCAGGCATATGTAGGTAAAGGATTATCTAGATCAAGTTTAGCCTCTGAGAATGTCTGTGAGGGATTATCTGTTAGGTCAATTGATGTGGGAAGGCCTGACTACAGGCAGGAGCACTCCCTGACTACAGGCAGGAACACTCCCTGACTACAGGCAGGAGCACTCCCTGACTACAGGCAGGA